GGACCAGTTTGCTAGAGGGAGCCTCTGTGTCATTCACGTATTGAGTGTTTGTTCACATTAAATCATAAGGTTATGTTTGCACCCACTTATTGCTATTTATACTTATTGCTAGATGTGTTACTGAAGTATTATTCCATTTTGACCTAGCGAGTGCTTTCTAAGCTCAGCTCCCAGCATGTAATTACTCCAGTGAAACAGTACACGTAAAATATCAGGTGTTCGGAGTTCAGTATTGACCTACCTAGTTTTTGCACCGCTAATCGTCCAAGGCTGAATGTGATTAGATCGATTGGTATCATTTATAAGAAGAAATGGAAAGCTCGCATATCATCTTCCGTATATTAACTAAATGCTCTTATCAAGAGATTGCCGTTTCGGTTGATGTCTGTCAGTGAGCCTTAAAAACTCAAGGAAACTAAGAGGTAAATTTTGCAATATTTCATCCTTAAAATGCCTGTATTACGACCAAATACTTTCTCCGTGGCTATTGCATTTTTTAAAATAACTCCAGGCACTTTGTGGGCAAGTATATGATTTGACAAATTTTATGGTGAAGCGATATTATTCGAAATTAATCCAAGAGAAACGCAATGCTATTTCATTGCATGCGCAGGTATTTTTTTTGCAATGGCCGTTACTTAATAAGGTCAGTGAGAAATTCTCTTAATAGGTATTGATTGTCAGAACCTGCAGCCTGATTGTCGAAATTGTGCGTTTCTCGGGTAGACATAGATGACATAGGTCAAAAGGCAGTACGTGATTGGTCGGCGCTATGTCTTGTTGCTGTTTTGTCGTGCCTCTGATGGGTGGAACCCTAGACAAGCTAAATTCATCTCTTAAGTTTCTGACAGTATGTTGTCCATTCCACCAGACAAAGGCACGATAAAGCAGCGCTAAGACATAGTTGATCAATAACGCTCCACCTTTTAACCAATGTCATCTGTGTCTACCTTTCAAACACAAACTTTCAACAATCAGGCTGCTGGCATCCTCAAGTTAGGAAGATCATCTTATGTGATTAGTATGCCTGTTGCCAAATTCTTAATGAGAAATTAAGTATTCAGGGGAGATGAAAATATTTCTCATTTCATTGCAATCATCGACAATTTTTCTTTTACAATGCTCCTAAGAGTATGGTGTAGAGTCTATAGGAACAGAGTTTGGATGTTTGGATGCTCTAAAGAATAATGATCCCAAAAGTCATGAAAATAGCTGGTTTAAAGTCATGCCACACCAAATAGACTCATTTTGGTAAAATTTGTGCTCTACTACTTCATTCACTGGTTGTTTCATGAATAATTCATCATTCCATACAGAGTACCTATGATTTATAAGGCAACGCTCTCATGAATTTCCATTATCATCTGATAGGTTGCTGAGTGATGAAATTCAGTATCGAAAAACTTGCCGCTAGCATTAATACAAATATAAGTGCGCTTAAGAGGGATGATGTACGTAGTTGAAACAAATGATCAAAATTATTTTATCACTTGGAATAAGCTTACAGTGTAATGCCTATGACAATAAGTTATACTCGTTTTCCATTAATTTTCTCACGCAGGTAAATGACAACTCGGTAGCTATTCAACCCCTCCCCCTCCCCTGTCACCCTTTTCCTGTGAGCCTTTCCAATAGGTACAGATACATTTGACTACCTTAGGTAGCCCCGCTACTTTCAATAACGTATTTCCAGAGTGAGCACAAGTCAGTGGGTGCTATTAAAATTTCCGCTGAATGTGTATGTGCTTTAGCAGATGTTGTTTACTTTCCATTCATTCAGGATTTTCAAATAGCCAATAGTACCTACTTAATATTTAATGGCCACACCTTTTTCCATTCAAAAACGAGCTGATATAAACCACAAAAACCCTCAAAAACATTTTCGGGCAAAAAATCCGGTCGAGGAAATTGACGTGTTACATTTTATTAACCAAAAACATTCCCTTTCACCCCTCCAAGAAGGTTGATAAAACTAAGTAAGTAACTATGAGATGGCAAAAACCTCTCTCTTAACTTCTCAGAGTCCATCAAGACCACATAGGTCCAAAAACTTACTCTTTATGGTTTAAAAAAAAGAAACAAAAAATAATCCCTTAACAATAAGAAAATTAAAAAAAAAAAAACCGATTTTGTGGTTCACAGATATGCACATAAATCCTTCGAATGAACTTGAAATCACAAAATCGGTCGAGAAAATTTAAATGAATTTTCTCCTTCAATCATGAGTTCCGCAACAAGCACGACTCGCTTGAAGCTTTCCATACACGAGCCGCAAGAAACTGATTTCTTCTTTCTTAGGTACCTACTGATTGTGAGGAGAGCGGGAGTATTTACTTTTTCCTTCATTTATACAGGATGCAACAGGCATGACTCTTGCGTTTGCAGAAACCCTTTCATTAAGGAGATCGCGAGAGCCTATACCGCGCTCATTTCCAAAAGGGATTACTCCAGAATTTCATGCATTTTAATAATTTAAACGATTCATCTGTTCCTCTCTTCTCTCCTTCTGTCCATCGACAGAGATACAAAATTTTTCCGACGCACTGACGCGACCGGCTCGATGCGTAAACAAGTTTGGATTACCTCTAAGGTATAAAAAAAAAAAAAAAAAAAAAAAAAAAAAAAAAAAAAAAAAAANAAAAAAAAAAAAAAAAATCAGAATAACACTTACATCACAGCATGGGTGTGAGTTTTCTTATATCGAAACTTAATTCAATTTTTTTAAATAACTCCTTGTGTCAGATGGGACCCATATTGTGAAAATGAAAAAAAGGAAAAGTAAACGAAAACTTTTAGCCCTCTCACCATCCAAATCATATGGTAAAGCTTACAGTAAAAGCAACCGACAGCAACAGATTTAGATGCAGCGAAGTTAATCGAAAGAGTCTGACATGTACCTATGTCGTAAAATGGGTCCACTGGTAAAACTGAAGCTGGCGTCAGGGATAAAAAGGCACCGTTTCACTGAGAGCATCGAGCCGGTCGCGTCAGTGAGTCGGAAAAATTTTGTATCTCTGTCAATGGACAGAAGGAGAGAAGAGAAGAACAGATGAATCGTTTAAATTATTAAAATGCATGAAATTCTGGAGTAATCCCTTTTGGAAATGAACGCGGTAAAGGCTCTCGCGATCTCCTTAAGGAAAGGGTTTCTGCAAACGCAAGAGTCATGCTTGTTGCATCCTGTATAAATGAAGGAAAAAGTAAATACTCCCGCTCTCCTCACAATCAGTAGGTACCTAAGAAAGAAGAAATCAGTTTCTTGCGGCTCGTGTATGGAAAGCTTCAAGCGAGTCGTGCTTGTTGCGGAACTCATGATTGAAGGAGAAAATTCATTTAAATTTTCTCGACCGATTTTGTGATTTCAAGTTCATTCGAAGGATTTATGTGCATATCTGTGAACCACAAAATCGGTTTTTTTTTTTAATTTTCTTATTGTTAAGGGATTATTTTTTGTTTCTTTTTTTTAAACCATAAAGAGTAAGTTTTTGGACCTATGTGGTCTTGATGGACCCTGAGAATTTAAGAGAGAGGTTTTTGCCATCTCATAGTTACTTACTTAGTTTTATCAACCTTCTTGGAGGGGTGAAAGGGAATGTTTTTGGTTAATAAAATGTAACACGTCAATTTCCTCGACCGGATTTTTTGCCCGAAAATGTTTTTGAGGGTTTTATATGCTAACAGGTTCCATTCACCATGTTGCTACCATGTTGGGCCAGACCAACTTGTTACCAACATGTTCATTTTGAGCAGGGCTGTAACAATAGCGGTCGCTAACATTCGCCATTTTTAGGGCAAACGCTTTTTTCGAATTCTGGAGCCCTCAAGAATGCCTGTGCAAAGTTTCAGACTTCCATCGTAATTTTTCGGTGAGGTACGATCTGAAAACCATGTTATTTGTAAAAACAGTGGACGTGCGAATCCACTATTCCCATTGTTCTCTCCGGCCGGCGCTGCAGGACACCGCGGAGATTCTAATGCACTTGTGATAACTGCCCGCGCACCGGCCACGGGCTGCAGATGATACTCAAATGATACCTACACACATCGGGACCGTTTCGGCAGCATTGATGAGTTTTTAACTGATTTTATAATTTGTTCCTTATTTTTGTTGCAGAAGTTACAGACGGTTTAGTTTTTTGTTCAATTTGATTGAATGACTCAGCAATGATATACTTCTGGTTCATTTCAATCGTTTCACCATCCTTACCCTTGCTGAAGACTTAGTTTCATGCATAAAAAAGTGTTTTCAGTAAAAATAGCGGATGCTACATTTTTTTCAAATCGCTATTAATCCTTCAATTTTTCACTCATATAGATCGTAAAACGTGCCTTTTTCACAAAAAGAGTTGCTCTGAATGAAAATATTCATAAGAATCCTCTCGGTCCTACGGGCGGGAAAGTGCAAAGCTTCGAAAACTTCAAACGCGATTTTCTCACAATGTGAAAACTCGACATCCGCTATTGTTAAGTCCTCATATATTTAAATCCTCATATTCGTTTTCCACTAACAGTCCCTCCTCTTTTTGAATGCTCTCATTAAGGTATGTAGATGTTATTAGTGAACTTAAGCATTTTTAATTTAAAAGAATTTAACTACTCAAACCTTTTATTACATTTAATTTTTGGTGAAACGGCACATCGGACAAGAAATAGAAGTGAAGGCTAGAATGTGTCGGCTTTTGATACCACCCTATACTAATTTCATTGTTAAGACCGCGGATGACAGTGAGTTCCATTTTTAAGGCGCCGTACACTTTTAGGTAATTCACAAGTCAAGGACAGATGAAAGGCTCTTAAAAGTCCTAAAATTTCGGCTTGGCCACAAGGTCGGGAATAAAGGAAACAATCATCTAAACATATTTTGAAAAACAGTACCTTTTGCCTATACATTCAGCTGAAATTTCCCCCTTAGCATATTCAAACCCTCAGCTTGAATAAGCAAAGGGATATAAGTATATATAAAATTGAAGTACATTAGTTTGAAAGACAGAACGAAGTACCTGAAGTATTAGCCAGTGCCCATTTTTTGCGGAAAATTCAAGAGCCTCTTCTGCAATGCTTTCTTGACCTTGACCAAGAGAGACGTTATGCAGGTTCCGTTCATCTGCTGTAAACCCCATTTTTTTGCCAACGCGCTCCACATCCTAAAAGAACAAAAGTTGCTCAACATCTTAAAATGCATCCACGACGAGGTATGTACAAAGGGTATGTCCCAAAAGTAAGTAGACTGATGCTGCGACTTTATAACAAAGCTACCTAGCAACTTGATCATGGTTTTATTTGAAAGATCTAATCCTATCTTCTATTGATTGAGACCAAGATCAACTCATTTGAATAAAAATTCTACAAGTTATGACACTATATGTAAGGGGTGTGTACGCCCGCCGCCAACGGGTTTTTAACAAAAATTAATTCTATCCGCTATCGTGAGACTCCACCAGATGATCAGGTTGCTTCTCAAAATATTTTCCNTTTTTGAAAATTTGTGGGAAAAAATTGAAAGATGAAATTCGACTTTTGACTCTTCCTACATTTAGACAAGGTGTTGTACTTACTAAAAAAAATTTGAAAGTAGCCTCCACTGTCAATATAATGATGGGAAAAAAATCATGAAGTTGAAATTTTGACATTTTTCTCCGAACTCCTGCCCAGTTACCCAACCTCACCTTAGTCTTCTTTAATTCTTCCTGGGGAATTTTTTTGAAGGTTTTTTGGACAGCCGTCTTGATTTCTTCCTTGGTCCTTCCGGGGATCAATGAGATGGTGCGCCATTGCACCGCTGGAACGCCCAAACTATACTAGAGCTCTATTGGCAAGTCGAAAGCAATAGGTAAGCGCCGCCTATCGGCTGAGCGCTTAAAAGTAATAAAACGAGATTCTGGAACGTAAAAGCGCTTTAAAAGTATTCTGGGGCTATAATAGGTAGCTAAATCACCGGTAGTAATTCCCGTTATATTATGAAAAGGAATTTGATTCCATAGTTTAATGCCTTACATTCTTGAATGCGATTATTTTAAGCACTCAAACATTTATACCACCAATTTCGGGATTGAAATTCCTCATTATTGTTTCATGAAAAATAAATGCACCCAAAATGACTATAGCATATTGACTTTTACATAGGTGCACTTACGAAATTTATTTTATAAATTCAACGAGTGGGTACATCGACCTGCTATATCAAGTTTTTGCGATTTTTTAGAGCAAATCAGTAGATTTTTGGGATGTAGATTGCTTACTTTCAATTCATGAATGAATGAAGCATGGACATGGTTGAACTTCTTTGCACGGAAAGACGTTTAAAATAATAAAATCAAGACATATTTAATGCAAATTGCATTAATATTGAGTCAATTTCTTTTTAATAATATAACGGGATTTATACTACCGGTGATTTGGGAATTTTAGCCCCAAAATATCTTTAAATCGACTTTATCTTTTAAGAGTTCGACTGAATTTTTCCTTTCTTCGCATGAATTATTCCGCAGCGCTTTTCTTCACGAATCTTATAAGATTTTGCTCGAGGCAGATCAAAAAAACTTCAATTCGTTCGATTAGCTTTCTACATTCACAATACACGGTCTCGTCAAGGTGCGTCGTTGACCTCGCAGTGTTGGATCGTGAATTCTCTTGTTGTGCTGCTTACCTATTTTGAAATCTCTGTACATGAAAACTAAAAGGGTTGATAAGTGCGAGTTAATGACGCGCCTTTTCAACACATTGCGGAGTTCAATGTTTGTTTTATTTCTTCCTCGGCCCTTGGCAAAAGCATGCATTTTATTTGACCCTTTTTAATTCTATCTGCGAGGGATCTTTCATTCATCAGGACAGGAAAAGTAAGGAAGAAAATACAAAAAATGCGATTGTTCAGTGCGAAGAGATACATTGTCAGATGAAACTGAACTGATGCAATGCAAAAAACTCCAGCTTCAATCTAAGTAAGTATTAAAGTCCTCTTTATGAGGCCCCTTCATTAAAAAATAAAAATTAATACTTCAAATGCATAGTGCCGATCTATTTAAAACAACGCATATATTTTCCTCTTCTTCTCCTTCTTTACTTCTTTATTTATTTAGTTTCTTGTCGACTCCGAGCATACGAGTGATTTCTGAAAGGACACATTAAATGAATTTTTCCCTAAAAAATAATTATTTTGTGGACAAATATAATGGGCATCTTGATTTTTTAACTTCCGTCTCCTTTATTCCGTCATAAGCGAAAAGCGATGTTGGTTTTAGCAGATGCTAACGGCATCTGGCAGCAATTGCATGCATCGTCCCCATAGGAAGCGTTACCACCCCGATTACTAATTTTAAGGAACCTGGTTTCTTCTTTCGACGCAACGGGTTTTCTTTCATCAAGCGAGTTGTTACTTGGAATATTGTCGCATATTGCACGGTTTGTGAAACTTTATCGGCACTAAACACAAATTATTACATAAACTTAAAACTTTTTGGAAAAACCGAGTAATATCCATTATTATTTATTATTATTATCGTGGATATTGATCGGTTTTTCCAAAAAGTTTTAAGTTTATGTAATAACTTGGAATAAGGCAACGAGCGTAGTGCTAATTGGTTTTTCCCCCTCGGAAGGCGCTCAGCCCATTTACTAATTTTAAGCATACTGATTCCTTCTTTTGACGCACCGTGTTTTATTCGATCAAGCAAGCTAATGAATTGGAGAGAGGAAACGGACAATCTCAGAGGGCATTCGCCCCGTTTACTAATTTTAAGAAAACGATTTAATCTATCGACGCAACGTGTTTTCCTCTTTCAAGCAAGCTGGGTAGTTGAAAAAAGGAAACGAAGGTGCTCTGAGGGCGTTGTCCCCGTTTACCAATTTCAAAAAACAGGTTTTTTCTATTCAAGTACACGACCGCTAATTTGAGAACGCGGTTGATTTATTTCAACAAAATAGGTACCTAGGACTTTCTTGTTTCAAGACAATTCTGAATGCTACATTGAGAAACCCTGTGTCTTCTTCCACGGCGAACCCGCCTTGGAATTAGTAGAAAATCCAAGTCAACCCGTTTACTTAAATTTAGTATGCCTTTTTTTCAGTGTTGTTCCTTTTCTCGAAATTGATAATGTCATCTATGCTCGTGGGAAATCGAACGGCCGAAAAATCGTAACGATAGGTATAGCAGATTTAAATATTGCCCGGGCGTTGTTTATTTCTGTCTACCACTGGGAGAAACTTTACCAACATTGCGTACAGGAAACAATCGTTTGCTTCACCGATATTTACGTTCATAACATGTATCGTCGAAAAAGGCACCTTAACGTATGTACGTTCCTCCTCGATGTAAAGCGTAAAAGCGGTCGACACGTAGCTCCATATCCTGTTTTTTTTCCAGCTCCCACCCGGATCCGTTCATATGATAATCGAATGACTCTTTATTGATCTTGGCCCTGAACTTTTCATAATACTCTTCCAGATCCGTTGACGTAAAAATCGCTATGTTTTTAGTCTTAAACTTTTTCAACTGTATTCCTTCCTTGTTCTTATCTTCAACTTTCTAGTATTCAGCGTAAACTAGTAAATTAACCTTCAACGCCTTGCCGGTGAGTTCTTCTTTAATTGTTTCAATCACAAGGTCTTTAGCTAATGTTAAGTAGTCATCGATGATCAGAATCTCCGGTTGGAGGCTCGTGATGAAAAATGTTTTCAACCTGCTCTAAGCAGTCTCGACTTGAATTATCGGTATTTTCGTCTCAAACAACTTTCTTATGTGACTTGCAGATTCTTAATGTTTTTCTCTTTAAACGTATGAGATCCTGCATGTGTCACAATATTCTTGATTTTCGTCGTCGTCGGTAGGTGATGAGGCGTCTTTTATGATGGACATCTTTTCTATATGTATGGGATATTTCTTATGATTCCCTCCCTCTGTATAGAACTCATCACATAGATCACATTAGATGAGCGTGGTGTGCTCCTTTTTAATATACGTTTCATCTTTGATACCCTGAGGGCTCATACAGCCGGCCATATGTCATACTGCCGGCAGTATGAGCGCGCATATAGCCGGTCATATGCCATACTGCCGGCAGTATAACACCATACAGCCGGTCATATGAACCTATATGGCTACACTCAAAAAAAAAAATGTTACTTTAAGCTTGAGCAAGCTTGATTCAGCATGACGGGCGTCTTAAAAACGGGTAAAAGCTTACAGCATGTTACGGGAACATAATCAAAAATGTTGAAGAAACATGATAGCCGTCATGTTAAATCAACATGACTTATCTTGTTGCCATAGGAAGTCGTCACGTTGACTCAACATGCTGTCATGTTGATTTAACATGACAATCATGTTGATATACGAGTACGTCAAATGCTACAAATTAAAATAAATTACGTTATTTTTATGAAAATTTTATCGTTTTTTAATGTAGTTATACTTCCGATATTACTCTCAACCCAGAATCATCCCATGCGACCTATCAAATTTTTCCGACTTTTTTGGGATTTGAACGCGGGACCTACCTATTACAAGCGGAGTGTTCTACCAACCGAGCCACCTGGGTATGTGGTTCCGGTTGACGAATTTTAAGTGTTTCCATATCCCACTGAATTACTTTTTCATTTTTTTGCCGTCTAAGTTGTGTGAAATGCATACCGCATCAGATTGTTAGGTTTTTCTTTTTTTCCATTCACTATTTACGAAAAGGAATTGACATTATGCACCATATAAAAATCAACAATTTATCACGAACTATTTTTTTCTCCTCCAGCAAATATGTTTACTTTCTTCAGTGTTTACGATTGTCATTTTTATTCTTATTTTATATCATGATAATAATTAATAATATAAATAAATCATACATTGAAAATAAAAAATATAATCAAATAGGTATTTAGAAACGTAGGATTTTAAGAGCCTTAACCACACGAGCGAAAATGTTTTTGAAAAAAGAATAATAAACTATCATCAACTTAAAAGTAATTCTTTTTGTTTCATGTGTAAGTATTATTACCATATTACCATTTTTTTGTCATGGTGAGCGTTAATAGCGTTATTCGAGTCGATTTATTTTGTTTCCGAAAGTGTCTCAATTGTGTTTTTACCTTATCAATTGGGTATCCAGAAATGTTTTTAAGTAAATACTTTGGGACGTATTTCTTAAGAGACTTTTTC